GAGGCCCGAGCTGGCCGGAGGCGCTCTGGACCTGCGCTGCTTTGCAGAGATGGGTTCTCAGCTTTGCCCTCACGGCTGGGAGGCCTGAGGCAAAGGCCCCCGTTGAGCCGTTTCTCCTGTTGCTTGGCTTGCCCTGCTCCTAGAGTCCTGTCTGGGAGAGGCCAGCATGGGGCTGGCGCATGGGGACCTCCCACAGCTCTCGCTCTTTGCCGGAGGAGTGCGGCTGCTCTCCGAGACACTGTTTGTGTCCTTGGGATGAGCAGTGGCTGATCCCGGGGAACCGCACGAGAAACGAGGATGCTCACTTCAGAAGAGCTCCTCTTCCTCCCACGCCCAATGGGGTCTGTTTTGGATAGAATTCAGTCAATATTTCTGCATGCTCTGGACTGCGAGATGGTTGAGGTGGTTCCCGAGTTCGGCAGGGCCTTGCTGCAGTCCTAGGGCAGGAGAGCACAGGGATGTGCTGCGGCTTCTCCCCTGGAGCACGAGAAACGAGGATGCTCACTTCAGAAGAGCTCCTCTTCCTCCCACGCCCAATGGGGTCTGTTTTGGATAGAATTCAGTCAATATTTCTGCATGCTCTGGACTGCGAGATGGTTGAGGTGGTTCCCGAGTTCGGCAGGGCCTTGCTGCAGTCCTCAGGCAGGAGAGCACAGGGATGTGCTGCGGCTTCTCCCCTGGAGAAGTGTAGCCTTTCATTTGGCTGTGCGTGCTCCTGGGGACACTTTTGTAGGGGGATTATCATCTGAGGAGCATAGTCCCTGTTCCTTAATGAATCACAATGTTTGTGTGCTGGCTGCCTTGGGGAGAGAGGTGGGAATGTATAGTGTGAAAATACACTGCACTGGTGTGAAATCAGTGTAAATTCTCTTTATTAATCCTCTGGTCTGCTTTGAGTCCTGCCACTCCTGCTCTTCACCAATGGCTGAAGTGTATCACGTTCCTTTGAGCTGTTTTTTACTTCAGTAGCTCCCTGTTTCCCCCAGGATGTGCCATTTCTCTTCCACGCTTTTGGCTTTCCTTCCCATCAGCGTGTGTCTAATGCCAGCGCCAAGGTCCCATTGAAGTGGCATCTCTGTGGCCTGGCTTGTGGAGGACCATAGGGAGCGTGGCCCAAAGCAGACGTGACACCTACAGATGTACACAGGTCTATTTATGTATGACCTTGGGAAATAGGACAGCCCTTGGCATCCCATTCCAGTCCATCAGGCCGTAGGTATTTAAGGACTGAGTGTTGCTGCACGACAGCGCTGGCCAATGCTTCATGCACACGTGTCTACGGGCATAAGTGTGTGCGCACCATTAAATAATATATATATTTATATATATTTATGTATATATTTATAATAAATAAATAAATCCAGGTGTGCCCTTAGCTCTGGTTCTGTTAGCACCTTCTTGCCTCTATTTTCCCTCCCTGAAAACACTATGTAATTCCACTGCAAGAATTTGATTGCTGTCACTAGTATTCTACATGGGGATGGGGACTTGGGGCTAAATTTTCCTGCTGTGGGGGAAGTTTAGTTTGAGAAGGGCCTTCTGGGGTCTGGTTACGCTTTGCTCAGAAGGGCAGGTGAGGACACAGAAGTTGTCCAACACCAAGTACCTCCAAATTTGCAGAGTCACTGTAACCTTGAGATGCTCTTATACTAACAGATACTGCCTTGCTTTTCCAGGGAAGGGAATGAGCCTGGGGATTCTGCGAAAATCACATACAATGAGTTGCTGCACCAAGTCTGTCAGTTTGCCAATGTTCTCCGCAGCCAAGGTACGCAACGGGAGCCAGGGGAGTATGGCAAAGTTGGGATGAACGAGGCCAGGATGTGGGAGTTTGGATCCGCCTTTTGCCCAGCAGCTACTTCCCTTGAGTAATTCAGGGCAAAATGCTTCCCTGTTCTGTTTTGCTTCTATGGAAAAGTGGAGTAGACACAGATTTGCTCTCTTGCAGTTTCATACCTAGCTCCATCTGTGAACCCTAATGAAAGCTGTGCGGGGAGAAACCTGTGCTCAGGACTGCCTGCCCTGGGGTTTTCTGGGTTGCACAGGTTGCATTTCCAGCTCCTTCAGGGCCCTGTCTGATCAGGACATGGAACATTCATGGCAGTTTTCTTACAAGTTACCTTCTCAAGCTGCAGAGTCTGAAAGGCAATGTGTGCACCCGCTGTGTCTGGACAGCCTGGGAGTCTGTGCATTTTCTTGCTCTTTCATTATTGGCATGATGCTCCTCATATTGCTGGGTGCTCCCAGTCCGTCGGACTTGGCCAGCCGGGCATGGCTGGGAAGTGGCAGTGGAAGGTAACCCCTTGGGCATGAGCTATTCCCTGCCTTGCTGAGGCTTGTTTGCTTCTAACCCCAGCTGAAGCTTTACTGTGAACATGTCACTGTTGAAATAAAATCATTAGCTTCCTCCTACATCCTGTTTTCATAATGGTTGTAGAGTCCAGGGTTATAGAGCTGCCTGAGGGGTGGATAACACTTACCCCACAGTTGTTTTGAAAGGTTATATAATGACATATTCATTTTCCCCCCACAGGCGTGAAAAAAGGAGACCGTGTTTCCATCTACATGCCGATGATCCTGGAGCTGGTGGTAGCCATGCTTGCCTGTGCCAGGATCGGGGCTCTTCATTCCATTGTGGTAGGAACAAGAGCTGCGCCTTGATCTCTGCCCTGAGCTGTTGTGGGGGACATCAGCTCTGTTATCACAAGAGCAAGGGGAGGGACTGGCAGAGCTGTAAAGATGGGTGCTGACTACAAGATGGGTGGAAATTGAATTAAGGTGCTGCTTTGTTTCCCTCTTCTGCATTTAACTGTGCAATGACGTTTCGGGGGTTGTGCTCTCTCCCACTGATAGGTCTCTAGGGAGTCTCCATCTCCTTTAGCTCTCTCATCCCCACCTGGTGCTGTGGGTTGTGTGGGATGAACCGCACGGCTGCTCCTGCTTTCTGTGCTGCCGCTTCGTGACCGCATTGTGCCGTGTCCATCAGTTTGCAGGTTTCTCAGCAGACTCTCTCTGTGAGCGGATCCTGGACTGCGGTTGTTCACTCCTCCTCACTGCAGGTAAAACGGGCGCCTAACCCTGCCTCTTGGTTATCCAAAAGGTCTTAATTCCAAAAGCTGAATGAGCTCGGATCTGGAGGAGGAAGGGCAATGCTTCAGCTGAGCTGCTGTAAGGCAGGCAAACTGCTTGTAGCTGTTCTGGAGCACTATTTTCCACTTCGAGTGTGTGCTGAAGTATTTAAGCAACCCTCCCACTTTGCTCTGCAGAGCATGTTGTCACCAGCTGCTAACAACACAGTTCTGAAAGTGTCTCATCCATGTCTGGCTTCAAAATAAGCCAGATGTTTTCAAGATGCATCACTTTTTGGGCAGGCTGAATACAAAAATTCCCTCCCTCCCTGATTTCAAGGAAATATTTGTGCTGTAACTCTCAGCCTTGTAAAGCAAAAGATTGAGAAAGAGGTAACATTTTTGTGCAAGTCCACTGCCTTTTCCCCAATCACTTTCTGTGGTAGTAATGAGACTATTAATAGGTCCATGCTATGGAAAGGACCCGTTAGACTTTGCAGTCTTTTCTGTCCCTGTCAGAATATGCCCTAGAGACTCCTTGGGTCAAATTTGACCTCTCCCAGGGAAGGAATTTCACCATTTCTCCTGGCATTTGCTTCTCTGGGCCAAAAGGGCTTGTTAGGAAACCTTTCCCAGTGGCTGCCTGCCAACTTTTCCTCACTTGGGTCCATGAGATCAGCTTAGCTCTCCTGCAACTGCTCTGTTGCTTCCCACTGTCCCAGGCTGTCTCGATGGGGAGCCCATCTAACATTTTCCTTGGGGTTTTGCAGATGCCTTTTATCGAGGGGACAAGCTGATTAGCTTGAAGCAGATTGCAGATGAAGCTCTGCAGAAATGTAAAGACAAGTAAGTCTACATTCTCCTGAAAGAAGCATTTCTGCTGGGGCTGGTCCATGTGCAGCAAGCTGTGGACACACTTCTCTTCTCCAAGCCCTGTCCCTGTGCTGCAGCTCACATCCTATGGTTGTCCTGAGGCCTGCAGGGCTGTGGAGCCTGCAGGGCCCCATGCAGGGATGTGGGGCTGACGTGGGCAGGGAGCCCTTTCCATGCATAGGCACATCCTAAACTGAAGGTCTGTTTGACAAGTTCAGGCCACCTGTGAAAGGAAATTCTGCCAGGGCGAGGGGTGCTGATCACGGGACTGTTAGGAAACGCTGCTAAGTGCCTGTTGGTGGATGCGCTGGCAAAATACATCAAGGTGCCTTCTGCCGTGAGCTGCTGTATCTGGAGACAGGAGTGCATGTGACATCCACAACATCGTCCCGGTGCTAGGGGCCTGCACTGTGGCAGGACACAGTGATAGGAGCTGATGGGCCTGATGTCTCCTGCCCTATCTGGGGGCTTTGGGTGAGTGGAAACGGCTCCTTCCCCTGCTGGCGGGAGAAATCACTAGAGAGAAGCCGGTGGATTGAATTAGGACATGGAGGAGGCAGAGGAGAGGGTGGGGAGAAGATGATGGAAGCACCTTTGGGCTGCTGGGGTGGTACTGGAGGCCTCCTGCACGGATGTGGCCAGGCCCATGTGATGTGCAGCCTTGGCCGTGGGGCAAGCCAGCCTCTTTCCTGTGGGACCTGCAGCTCTTCCCAGTGATCTAACGGCACAGGCACGCGGGCAGCGCTCGCTACAGCTCAAACCATGCTGCTCCATCATGGGAAGGGCAGGCTCAGCCCGCCATGGGCTCAACAGCCCCATCTGACAGCCCTGTCCCCTTTGCAGGGGCTCCCCTTTGGCAAAGTGCATCGTGGTCAAGCACATGGGGAGGGGAGAACTAGCGGAGGACGGGACGTGCAGCAAGTCACCCCCGCTCAAAAGGCTCTGCCAGGATGTGCAGGTACGTTCCTGGGGACGAGGGGAGGATGGGGTGGTTTTCGTATGGGTCTGAGCCCAAATCAATGAATAGAAACCACTGCAGTGCTTCCCTGGTGCTCCTGTTCCCTCCCCTCCTCCCTGCCACTGCATTGCAAGTGGTATGAGAAGGGTCTCCTGTGTGTTTCCAAGATCCCCTCCCTGCTGCTTCCTTTGAGCCTGTAACTAGCTGCCAGCCCACAGGAGCCCTGAAAGCACGGCAGGGAATCCCTTCCAACAGCTGGGAGCCTAGAGGACTAGGACAAGGTGCGTGTTTTCCTGCCCATGGAGGCCTTCTCCTTCTGAACCCTGTATCGATGTTCCCTGCTGTGCGAGGAGCCGTGTCCTCCTGCGCTCCAGCTGTGGCAGTGGAAGTGGGAGGGGAAAACAAGAGGTTTCTGCTTGTGGCCAGGATGCAGCACAATCCCACAACGTGCTAATAGCTCGTCGTACGATTGAAATCGTGCAGCTACTGTGTAGCTGACATTAGCAAGGAATGTTTTGGTTTGTTTATAGCTCTCAGGATTGTCCATCTGCCTCTGGACCAGCCAGTGTACATGCCAGTGCCCCCACCTGATAGAAAATGGCTGTTTTCAGAGTGTTTATGGTCTCTGGCAGAAAATATGGGCTCCCTTGCCTGGCGGACTTGGTTGCCACGATGGCTCGTGGGAGCCGGTGAGGGCACATGTTCTCTGTTGATTGAACTGGGACAGTTGTCCCAAGTCTGTGCAGAGGGACATTGGGTACCTCATACTAGTGCACTGAGCTATTCCAGGAGCTGAGATATGGTGAGCGCAGGCATCAAACCCAGAGTAAAACCTGAGTAAAGCCAGAAATGGGTTTTACTTGGAGGATGCATTCGATCGAGCTTTGGGCTGCCCTTTCAAAAAGGGATGGCCTATGCGTGCCCCTGGGACAACAAGGACAGGAGGTTACGTGTCTTTGAGTTCGTCTTGCCTGTGCAGCTGTGTTGGTTCTGTGGAGGCAGTGTCTCATGCTTGCCCATCTGGGCAGGAACGTTGGCCTCCTCCTCTTGCTGGGGTAGGGTAGCTGTGAAGGGGTGGGGAAGTTGGACCAGGGCAGCGCTGTGATGCTGTCCCTGGTCGGGAGGCTGAAGCGGTTGCTGTGGGTGATGCGAGGTGGCTGTGCAGAATGTCCCAGGAGGAGGAGGCGGGAGGGACCTCCGGCTCCACTGCTGCTGCTGTTCAGACACTAATAAAGATGGGTTTTCCTCATGAGGGTCTCTCATGCTGCGGAGGCGACGCATAACCAGGGGACACGGTGGGAATGGGGAGGCTCTCACAGAATTGCAGAATGGTAGAGGTTGGAAGGGACCTCTAGAGATCTAGTCCAAACCCCCTGCTCAAGCAGGGGCATCTAGAGCACATGGCACAGGGTGGCATCCAGGTGGGTTTTGAAGATCTCCAGAGGAGACTCCACCACCTCTCTGGGCAGCCTGTTCCAGTGCCCTGTCACCCTCACAGGAAAGAAGTTCTTCCTCGTATGGAGGTGGAACTTCCTGTGTTTTAATATACACCCGTTACCCCTTGTCCTATCACTGGCCACCACCGAGAAGAGCCTAGCCCCAGCCTCTTGCCTTGGGAAGGCACCTCCTGGCCTGGGCCCTGCACCGGAGAGCCCAGCGCCTCCTGCATCTCCATTCATCCTGACGTGGATCCTCCGCTTCTCAACTTTCACACCCTCTTTGTGGATTTTTAACAGGAAAAAAAGACTGAGAGCTCGCAGAGACTCCATCCCCAGGTATTTACGTGCAGCGCTGCCTGCATCCCGCCCTGCTTCCCCCGGCGCTCCACCTTTCTAACCGCTCTGGCTCCGCACGGCCACACGTCGCCTCCTAATCGGCTACCGGCCGTTGCATGTTAGTGACATATACCACTAGCTGCTTGGATGCGCTCACGGGGGGTCGGCCACCCTGCCCACAGAGCGAGTGAACGTGGTTGAGGCTCCCGTGGTTGCTGCAAGGGCCGGAGGCCTCTTGGAGGAGAAGCAGATGCTGGAGAACATGGGGACACATTCTGGGGCCTGCTAGGGCCTGCAGCCTGTGTTCTGCTCCCCCTTTGGAGGGCCCTCGTTTTCTGTGACGAGAAGCTGTGGAGCATAAATGGAGCCGGTGGCCCCCTCTGCCTGTGCAGCCCGAGCTCTGCATGCCCGCAGTGTTGATGCCGCAGCACCGGTTCTGCTGCTGGAGATGAGCCACCGCCTGTAGAGACCTCCGAACACGTGTGAACTGCTGACGGGGTGAAATGCGGATCACCGGGAATCCTGCTCTGCTTCCAGGGTTACGATGACACTTCATCTGTTTCCCTTTAAAAGCGGCTCTCCCGACGCGCTTCCCGTTGCACCGCGCTTGGCAGGGATCGCGTGCCGCTTTCCGGCTGCGCCCGCGCGCTGTGGGCAGGAAGCCTGGAGCTTCAGGGCCTGACCCAGCGGGCGGGCTCTGCTAACGCCTTCCCTGGAGCGGTGACCTCAGGAAGGCGCCTGACCAAAGCGATGGGGCCAAGCAACACGTGGTCTGCCGGAGCGCTCAGGGCGCGGGCGCGGGCCTCTGGGCAGGTTCTGCGGGCGGCAGCTGTGTTTGAGGCTCCAGCTCTCCCTAACATCAGCTGTGCGGGGGCCGTGGGCACTTGGCAGGAAGCAGCCGAGGGGCCTTCCTGGCTCCCTGCCAGAACTCGCATGGTTGCACCGAGCCGTGTGTGTGTCCCCCCAACATCGGGGTGCCCAGCGCGTGCTCCTCGGTGGCCCCTGGCGAGCAGGTGAGCGGGAGGCAAGGCCTGGCTTGGCTCGCTGCGTGCCGTCCTGGGGCTGTGACTTGTTCCAGAGGTTGGAGGAAGTTTGGTGCTAAAAGTAAGGCATCTTGGAATGAGGGATGCAGGGAAGTGAGTGTTTTGATGGGTCTGTGGGAGCCATGTGGGGACCCATTGGAGTTTTGAAACAGCCATGTGTGCTGTTCTCCAGGAATAGGGGCAGAGCAGGTGGTGTTCCTGCATCAGGTGTGCTGAGCTTCTGGCTGCTGCTGGACTGCAGGACCCCAGTGGCACTTCCCACTGGGAATTTTGGGGTGCAGGATTTCCAGTGGTGGGACTTGCATCCCTTCAGCTGATTCATATAGCCTGGAGCAGTTGGGATTCAACTCATTGCAGCTCACACATAAGATGGACTTGAGCCTGGAGCCCCACCAGCTGGGCAAGTGCCGTGAGCTCGGCTGCAGCCAGGTGCTTTGCTGCTCAGGTTCCTTTCCTACTCGTCTGGGCCATCCGCATCTCTCCCTCCTGGACCAAATTCTAATTCCAGGCCATTTGCTAACACGACAGTCTAGTGTGAGCAAGTGCTGGGGCCTAGGCTGCAGCCTGGGCACTCGTGTGCAGGCTGTGCTTGCGTGATGGGCCCTAGCTCTGCAGGAGATGATGTATGTAAGGAGAAGCAGCCCCAGCTGCATGTTGGCCTCCGTGCTGCAAAGCTTTGGGTCAGCGTGCCTGGCCCTGCGGAGATGTGGAAAGCAGAGGTCTGCTCTCTGCCTGAGGAACGTTGCCTGGGCAGCTGTTTCCCAAGTTCCTCCAAGGAAAGGAGAGAAGGTCAGGGGAAATTAGGCCTTGTGCTGAGCTGTGGCATCCCGGAGAGGTAGCTGGCCAAGGTGACTTTCACAGTGACCTCTTCTCACCACCCAGAAGCCCTGTTACAGCTCTGGCATCTGCTGCAGGAGCCCTCCGAGTTTTCCAGGGCCAGTAAACACATGGCCATGCTAAGGGACACCTGCTGCGTTGCTGTTGGATTGCTGCTGGGGGCAGCCCCAAAGAGCCGGAGGGGCAGCCCATTTGCCACGACAGCGGTGCAGCCCCCGTCACGGTGAGGGGGATTTCTAGGCATTGCCAGCGGTTGGGCAAAGACACGTCAGGCCTTGCAGTGAGACCTCGTTCGAGGGCTTGCCTGGGGGCTGCAAAAGGAGCTTCCTGAAGGGGAGCCACAGCTCGGGCGCATGGTTTGTGGCGAGCGGCTGGCACAGGGCTCTAGGCAGAAGCTGTGCAGGGAGTACCCGCCTGGATGGGCCACGAGGGGCTGCAGCCCCTTGTCCCTTCTCTCTGCTCTTGGAGCTCCCATCTCTAATCTTCCCCTTTTCTCAGACCCCCTGGGATCCCGCCACGGACGTGTGGTGGCACGAGCTGATGAGCAGCGCCAGCACGGAGTGCGAGCCCGAGTGGTGCGATGCAGAGGACGAGCTCTTCATCCTCTACACCAGTGGCTCAACCGGGAAACCCAAGGTACGACCAAGGTACCCTGCCCGCCTCGCTGCCCCATGCTCTGCACTGCACTAAGGCCTCAGTGATGGCAGCCAGAGAGGGTTCCTCCGGGAGGCCTCCGTAGGAGCTATGGAGGCTTTGGGAGAGGGGATGTGTGGGTCATTCCTGTTGCTGCTCCTCAATGGACCAGTGAGGCTCAGCTTGGGCTGGGATGGAGAGGACTCTGGCGGGGAGTTTGTCTTGATGATCCCGTGCCTTTTCCTTGCAGGGTGTTCTGCATACAGTGGGTGGATACATGCTCTTTGCAGCCACCTCTTTTAAATATGTGTTTGATTACCACCCCGAGGATATCTACTGGTGCACAGCTGACATCGGATGGATAACAGGCCATTCGTACATCACTTACGGACCCCTGGCAAATGGGGCAACTAGTGTGTTAGTAAGTGCTGGGTGGCACTCGGTGGCTCTCCTCCACGGTGTTGACCATGGCACTGAGCTGCATCCCTGAATTGCTCTGTGCTGAGCTTGACAGGACACACATTTCTGTGCCAAGTCCCTTCATACTCTCTGTGCTATGTTGCAATGTGTTGTCCTCTGGGAGGAAGGGTGACAGTCCCCAGGAGGGCTTGGGTGACTGCTCAGTGCTGTAGAGGAAAGGAGTGGGTTCCTTGTGTGTTTTGGACCATTTTTCAAGTACTCCTGTTTCTTTCCCTTAGAAGCACAAGCCTCCTGTTCCAGGGGAGTCAGGGCTGCTGCAGCCTAACAGGAAGGCTGGATGCTGAGCAGGGAGAGATGTTCATACTGCTCAAATTGGTCTGGCAACCTGTATTTAACTCCTCTGACTGCATCTCCTTTGACAGCGTATGGGAAAAACAAAACAGGGAGTCAAGACCTTTTCCCAAAGCTCTCAGGGGGAAATGCAAGCAGAAAAAGTCACTTTTACATTAGGAGAATCTTTTTAAGGTTTTCGATGCCTTTGATTCTGGCTCTGTGACTCCATGTTTGGACCCATCACTTCATGCCTTGTGGAGAGTGTCACTGGTGGGACAGCTTTCTCTGCAATAACCACCCAAGTGCCCTCATTGCAAGGGAGTTTGTGGGGACATGGACTACAACATCTGGGGTTGGGAGTGGGGTGATAAATCCACACTGAGGAGAATGTAAGATGGGGCCACGGACCAGGCTGGTTTCACACGCCGCTCCGCACTCCCCTGCATGCCAGTTGAGCACATGTAGGGATCCAACTGCTGTTCCCAGCGCCTGTTGCTTGTGAACGTCCCTGCAGACGGTTGCAGGGAGGTGGTGCTAATAGACAGCAGTGTCATTGCCCTGTTTCCCACTCAGTTTGAAGGTGTCCCCACCTATCCAGACATCGGCCGAATGTGGAGCATCGTTGACAAGTACAAGGTGACCAAGTTCTACACGGCGCCCACAGCCATCCGGCTGCTGATGAAACACGGGGAGGAGCCCGTCAAAAAGTGAGTGCTCCCGCAGTGCTGTGGGGGTCCCTGACGCCTGTGCAGCCCCAGGGTCCTGCCAAGGGGACACAATTTCTCTGAGCAGCAGCTTTCCCATTGCATTTTGTGAACAAAGCAGCATCTTCTGTTTTCAATCCAGAGATGAGCAGCCACCTATGGCTCAGATCTGAGCAGGTCCTTCCCGTTTAGCATTAGCTGCCGCAAAGCTCTGAGGATGCAGGCTCTGCTCTGCCCTGCTGCTGTGCAGAGGTGTGACAAGCAGCGAGCCTGTGTGTGTGGTGTTCCTTTACCCAGGGAAGAGAAAGAGCAGAGCTGAATGTGTCCTTGTCCCTACAATTCCTCCTAGAGTTGCACAGACATGTAACGAATGAAGGCAAATACTGTGAGCTCAACAGCTGACAGGTTGTGCTGAGGAGCCTGAGACTCAATTTACTATTCATAAGTTGAGTTTTAGCTCATTTCTGCTTTCGTATAAAACATGCAGGTAACAGAAGTTTCCAAAACAGTTTTGTCCCCTTTGCTCTCTCAAATCAGCGGGGGAAAAAAAATAACAGCCAGGCTTTTTCATATAATTAAGTGATCCCCATCACACAACAGTGCTTCTAACTTGGAGCCATTCCCCATGCCAAGGTAGGTGAAACGCTCTCTATTGGTAAATAGAAGTTAGGCTTTTAAGGTTGCGGTTGTAATGAGCTGAATGTGGCCTTGGTCTGCTGTGAGCTTAGAGTGGGACATACCCAAACCCTGGAGGTCTCTCCTCCAGCCACATGGAGGAGCATTCGGGAGGACGAATACGTGCCTGGAAACCCGTAGGGTGTTTGGGTGGCCTAGAGCTGCCTGCAGGCCCGCGAGTCCCTGGCTCTGCTCCGCAGGCACAGCAGGAAGTCTCTGAAGGTGATGGGGACGGTCGGGGAGCCCATCAACCCTGAGGCCTGGCTGTGGTACTACCGCGTGGTGGGAGAAGAGAGGTGTCCCATCGTGGACACGTTCTGGCAGACGGAGACGGTGAGTCCTCGTCCGGGGGCTGCGGGACCTCCCTTTCCCAGGTGCGCCCAGCAGGTAGCGGGGTCCCCTTTGCAGGTTGGCTGCAGTATTACTATGGGGACCAGCTGTTTGGCTTGTCCAGGAGCCTCCCGACCTCCTGCGTGCCCAGGATTGAATCCGTTGGCTCCAATTCTCCTCTCTCCTTCCTGGACCTCAAAGGCCTGGACCTCGGCTCCCCAGGGAGGCCTTTCCCTGGGATGGCTGCCGGCAGTCTGCTCTGATCCCTGCTTGCAGCGGCCCTCTCCGCCTCTTTGTCTTCTCCAGCAGCTCCAGGACCTCCTGCCCCAATCCAGCCCACTGTCTCCCTCCTCCTTGAGGCCCTGTCTCTGCCTGTCCTGAGCAGGCAGCACCCGACTGTGACAAGAGGCAACCGGAGCCAAGAGACAGCGGCCGTGGGACGGGACCCAGCCTAACCGCCTTCGCTTTGCCTCTCCCTGCAGGGTGGCCACATGCTGACGCCGCTCCCTGCTGCCACCCCCATGAAGCCGGGCTCTGCTGTGAGTAGCTGGTGTCCTCGGAGGGAGGGGACAGCCCTGCGCGGCCCCGGCCTGGGCTCTGTGCTGAGGTGGCTTTGGGCTGCAGTGGCCCATGTTTCACATCAGTAGGTGGCCACAATGCGAAATGCCCGGCCTGACATCTCCAGATGTCACCTCCAGAGCTGCTCCTGCTCTGCCCACTGCCCTGTCCAGCTCACAGGCTACTTTCAGTGTTGGGGTTTTCATCTCTCCTTGCTTTTCATGACAGACGTTCCCCTTCTTCGGCGTGGTCCCCGCCATCCTGAACGAGTCGGGAGAAGAGCTGGAAGGAGAAGCAGAAGGCTACCTGGTAAAGAGGGGCTCACGGTCCTCCCAGCCCTGCCCTTGTCCCTGCCTGTTCCCCACGAGCTCCAGCACGTTCCTGGTACACTGCACACATCTCCACCTACGCTGGTTCCAGCCAAGGGGCCTTTTCAGTGACAAGAACAGCCTCTACTGCCATAACTCAAGTTTTATGTCCTAAACAAGCCATGTAAGCAATCACTGATGCAACACACAGAAGGCAACAGCTTTTTAATAAGCTCCTCTGCCAAGCATGGTGAGACTTGCCCAATAGAGCAGCACTGCAGTGAGAGCAGGGCCAGCAAGTGTCATCACCCACAGTCATCTCTGCAGCGCTTTTATTACTGCATCCTGCTGCCCCTGCAGGATTATTTCCCCTCCCATCATGCAAGAAGTACAGTCTGTTCCATCCTGGAATGGGGTGGGTAGAACAGCAGGTGTCTGCTATCCTGATCCCAGGAAAAGCTCTTCAGTGTGAGGTAGTTGCTCCCATGTGCCAGGCAGTTGCAAAAGGATAAATTATGCTAAGGTCGTGGAGCAGCGTAGGAACTGCACCTGCTGCCCAGGGTTATTTAGGTCAATAGGGGTGATTTGAAACAACTGACCAAGAATGAGCACTGCTGGTTGGGTTCTGCTCCCGCTGACTCGTGTCTGCCTTTTTCACTGTCAGGTGTTTAAACAGCCCTGGCCAGGAATAATGCGCACAGTGTATGGAAACCACCAGCAATTTGAAACCACCTACTTCAAGAAGTTCCCTGGGTACTACGTGACGGGCGATGGTAAGACGGTGCGGGGAGCATGTGGCTGCAGGGGCCTGGGGCCAGCAGTATAAATCTTGCTCTGTCCTGGACTCAGAATCCCTTATCAGTTGCTCTGAGGGGTGACACTGCTTCCTCACACTGTCATTTCTGCCTATTTTTAGGTTGCAGGAGAGATAAAGATGGTTATTACTGGATCACAGGACGAATTGATGACATGTTGAATGTTTCTGGTAAGAAAAACAACTTGTGTCTTCTGTGGAACCCAGTGTAGCTTTTTAGATGCCAGCTAAAACCACAGCATTGCTCTATGGGACACAGCTCTGTCCCTGACTCTGCCCAGCAACCTGTCCTTGAGCTGGATCGGATTGCAGGATCTTGCTCATTTCCAAGTCAAGTAGAGGCTGTGACTTTGTGACTCTCTGGGATAATCTTTCCAGAGGAAACATCCTGGAGAGAAGCAGCTTTCTGTAGCCTCTTAGAGGAAGTCTTTAAGCACTCAAGGTGCTTCCATGCTGAAGCATTTAGCGTGACAGGAGATTTTAGAATCATAAAATAATTAGGATGGGCAGGACCTCTGGCATCTCTAATCCAAGCTGCTGCTCCAGGTGGGCTAAGCTCAAAGCCAGATCAGGCTGCTCAGGGCTTTGTCAGGTTGAATTCTGAAATTCTCAAAGGATTGAGGCTCTCTCACCTCTCTTGCTTGAGTCTTCTGATTCACCGTAATTTCGCCCCACCATGCCTTCCCTATGCTGTCTTAAATAGCTCCCTTCCTCCTTTCCTGCAGGCAGTAGCCTACATGTTCTTGTTACTGGTTTTGAGGTTGCTGCACTTTCCTCATATCAGACTTCATCCTTCATCCTTAAGTTAATGCTTGTTCATGTAACACTTCTTCAGTTGATTATCTGGGGAGTTATTCATCTTCCCGTGGTTTCCTGTGCCAGCAGTCCCAAGGCAGAGTGGCAGAGTGCAGGTACTGTTGGAGCAGAAGTTAAAAAAGAGAGTTGGGCCCCTGGGAGCTCCCTCCATCTCTCCCAGATGAGCACAGTGCCCAACAGAGACAGTCCTTGTGCTCTGCAGATTCAGGCCTGCTCCTCTCTGCATGGGCCAGGTGACCTTGTGGACACATCTCCCCTTAGCAATTCCACTTCTCCTCAGCCTTCGCTTTCTTTAATCTGATGGATGTGAACAATTCACAAATCTGTTTAAGAAGCCTAAAGGTAATAGGGATAAGGGCCAGGGACACGGAGCCTTTGTCTGCGGCGCTTAGCTAATCCTGCGCTGATGGGAGGACAGCCCGACACAGCACTGTTGAAGGGAGGGGTTATTTCCTAATCTGTTTTCTCAGCCACACAGAATTGGCCGTGTCAAACCTAGTTTTAGGACTTTTTGTACTCGCAGGCTCCTTCCTGATGGTTGCAGGGTGCCTCTGAGGCCTCAGCCCCACATGGCTCGGTAAAATGTTGCCTCTCTCTGCTCCCAGGCCACTTGCTGAGCACTGCGGAGGTGGAGTCGGCCTTGGTGGAGCACGCGGCCATCGCAGAGGCCGCGGTGGTCAGCCACCCGCACCCCCTCAAAGGCGAGTGCCTCTACTGCTTTGTGACGCTGAGAGATGGCCACGAGTTCACCAAGAACCTGACAGAGGAGCTGAAAAAACAAGGTAGCAACAGCCACAGCGACTGGACGCCACATGGCCGGGGAGGAGGCGGTGCTGGGCGGGCAAAGGAGGGGTTGACCCTGAGTGATGGTAGGCGAGGGCGCAGGGAGCGTGGGGAACGCAGCGTGGACACCTGCGCCAAGGTGCCCTCTCTGCCTGGAGAGCACGGCTGGCAGACACTAAAATTACAGCTCCCGGCCTTGGCTGCTCATGTGAAGCCACCTGGAGCCCTGGGAAGCTGGTAGCCGAGCAGAGGCCTCGCATGGCCTGCAGCAGTGCTCACCTGCACGGGGGCTGATCCCACGGCTCCCCCGTGCAGGCTTGTTGCAGAGGGCCTTTTGGAGGGGACCTGCCCGCAGCCCATCTCCAGTGACAAACCCACAGCTTTAGGCCACAGCAGGGTGGAAATATCTGGAGATCCAGCATGTTTTCCACAACTGCTTCATTGCCTGGGGTAACCTTTTGGTTGGTTGTGCCCTGCTCTCACTGAATTCTTTCATTGTCACCAAGGAATCTTTTTATTATTCTTTTTTTTAGTCCGAGAAAGAATTGGACCGATAGCAACACCCGATTACATCCAGTACGCCCCCAGCCTGCCCAAAACGCGCTCAGGTAAGGGGGTTAGTTACAGCACTGAAGGATGGATATGCTTAAAGCACTTGTCTGGTTCCACTGAAGCCCAAGGGGACAAACCCAGGACCAGGGAGATGCAGTAGGTCTGGGCAGTCCCTAGGCCATGCTGACAAGCTCCTGCATCCTGCTTTCCTCTCCTGGCTCTCTTTACAGGAAAGATTACCAGAAGGATATTAAAGAAGATTGCCCAAAATGACCAAGATCTGGGGGACATCTCCACCCTGGCGGACCCAGATATCATAAACCACCTTTTCAAGAACAGATGTGACACTAAACTGTAGCAGCATGACCTGTCCCTGATGAACAGAACTGCCGCAGCACTGTCTTGAGGAGCAGGT